GAAAAACGTGCGCTATTTTGAATTTCGGAAAATCTACGTCTCGAGACTTGAAGTCCTCTCGAGTGCTGAAGAGGCCGTAAAAACGTCGGGAGCCGGAACGCGACGGGACACTTTTATCCACCACGGCTCGGAGAGGCGCGCAGTGCTCGAACGGACACGCTCGAATCGATTTTCCCGGTGATGTACTAACGTCGCGTCGACCGTGGTGCGGGCTTTACCCTACCTCGCGTCGCGTTTCCTCCGCGAGGGTTCCCGACTTCTCGCGACTCCTCGTCGCGACTATACATCGTACCGTTTTACCGTTATTTCGCCCCGGATAGACATCGTCGCGATTACGCGACGATTCGCGTCGGTACGACGCGTTAGGCCCTCGTTCGTACGTTCTTTGACCCTCGAGCAGAGAGTCGAGAGTTCGCGATCCTGACCACCCAAAACTGTCTTGCGTTCCCACCCGAAAGCGCTCGGAGAAAGCTCTGGTCTCTCCGCTTTTACGATTGTTAGATGACTCGAACGCGATTTATTTGCGAGAGAAAAGTAGAATCGTGACGTACGAGTGTTGTCTGAATGAATTAGGAGCGTCCCAGACGAACACGAATGTGACGTCTGAGAGACTTGTATCTTTGAGATGTGATTCCGGATCTTTATGTTGCTTTGGTGATGTTAGCGGTAAGATTGCACTTCGGGCGAGGCTCGCTCGCTTCTTCCTCCTTGGCGAATAGTTAACGGGAGGATGGTTGCTCGCAATGTGCCTGTGAACCGTTTCGTCATGTACGGTTATACCACCCGTATCGTTTCGTGAAGACTAAAAATAGCGTTCCTCGAAGAACAACCAAAGTAATTCGGCCCGCTCGATATTTTATTTCCATCGCTCCGCCATGGGAATTAATTTTTACCATTGAGCGGCACTCGAAATTTCCGATGGAGCTCGAGTTCACGATTTCAGGTTCACTCTAAGCATAAGATCGTGCTTAAGTGAGCCCTTAAAGCTACAATTCGCGATTCATTTTAAACGTCGCCAATTCGAGCTTCCCGTGTATACCACTATAACTTGGCTAATAAAAGCCAAGTTTCGTCTATTAATAAGTCTAGATCCCGTGTCTCGGCGGGAAAGAAAAACTCCGCGTTAAGAGGCTGAAATAAATGACACGTCAAGCGTCATTCACGGCTGCACTTTGATACGTACTTTGATACTACTTTGATCGATTCTCGATCGGTCGCACAGATATCGGGATTCCCAGGCGTGGACCGAAGTTGAGAATTAACGAGCGGAAGTATAAGCGGAACGAGGGCGGCGAGGACGACGGCGGTGGCGGCGGCGGCGGCGGCGGCGGCGGCGGCGGCGGAGGTGGCGAGGGTGTGAGACAACGAGAGGGTGAATCGACGGTACGGCCGAAGAATGACGGGCGAGGACGGAAAGCGCGGTGGCGGCGCCGACGACGTTACCACTGGTGCAAATATGAACACGAACGTCACCGATAACGTCAACAATGTTAACGCCAATGTTAACGCGAACATAAACGTCAGCCAGCAGAACGGCGGACCGGAAAAGGCTCCCGTAGTCGGCGGTACCAACGTGGAGACGCTGCCACGCGCCGGCAAACAGGTAAGATTGATGAACTTTTTCTTTACTGACACCACTGACAGCGGTGCGGAACGCTGAAAAACTAGCGTCAACAGCGTGATGTGATTTGATATTTGAACCTGTTTGACTTGACGTAATCCTTTTTTCATTTCCATCTACGCGATGGGAAGAAAGGAAGTTGAATCGGGACACTCAAATGACGCATGCAATTGTAGTTGATTTATTCCATCGAGTTTCTCGTTACGTTGCTTTTTTCATGATTGATTGTGATGAATTATAATTTCTTTTATTTGTGTGTGAATGTGTGTAGGCAATGAACGGAGAAAGATGATCTAAAGGAAATTCTTTTTTTTTTTGTAAAAAAAAAATGATAGTTTACTATTTGAAATGTTCCATTAAAAAGTTTAAAAATTATTACTTAAAGTAAAAATAGGAAAGCCGTTTAAGTTTATTATTGTCAACGCTTCAATTCGATATCTGAGAATACGTTGTGGATACCGGATACTTGTCTAGCAATTTCACTGATTTGTACGTTGCAAACGACAGGGTATTGCTTTGCAATGTAATGTTCTAACGTGCATATTGAAAACATTAGAGTTTCGATCGCCCGCGCAAAATCGGAGTTGATACTTAATATAATAGAAATATTTCTATCCATGTATGTATACGATGGTATTGTAATCGAAGTCGCATAATTATGTATGCGAATACTCATACAATTATGTTTTAAAAATTTGCTGTGTCACGTACGCAATACCCAAAATTATCAACGTACTGCATGGTGTGCGCATTAGTTTGTTACATTGGACATGTGTATTTTTGGCCACGAGACGAGGGAAGTGGGTGGCATTATCACAAATAATAGGCTTCGTATATACATACCGTCTAATAGCATATACGGGGCTCACATTCAACCGTCGTTGTTTCGCCGCATGCAGCTCGCAATTTCGATTGCGTGTGTAAAGTGCGAGAGGAGGGTTCGGAGTACAACTGCACTCTCTCATTTGACACTCTTCTCACGCGTCACGTTACTTTCTTTGGCAAAAAAAAAACTGTCTGCATGAACGAACTTTTTTATTTCTTTTCTTTTGCTCGTAATATTACTTTTTCTTTCAGAAATCCGGACCGCTTGCAAGTGTGTCTGGTCGTCTAATCACTTCGCGATAAACAAGCTAATGTTAAAAAAATCTACAATTTTAAATATTAGGTTGTTCGGAAAGTAATTTCGTGTTTTCTTATGAAAATGAAAGACGATTTTCAATCAGACGCGTTTCAAATGATCATGAACGGTCGAATTCGATCAATTTAATCTCTCAGCGATCTCACGAGTTGTTATTCGCCGGTTTGCATCAATTAATGCCTTTATTGTGCCTTCATTCAGCTTCAACTGGCCTTCCAGAACGTGGTGCATCTTCAACATCAAAATTGCCGGATCGAAATTTTGCAAACCAGTTTTGGCACTGGCGTTCTGTCAATACATCTTCTCCATACACATCGGATAATTTTTTTTCTTGCTCGAACAGCACTTTTACCTTTTCGATAGTAAAAAAGTAAAATATGCCGAAAATGCTGCTTTTCACTTTCCATATTTGATAGGGCACCAACCAAAAACTACTGCGTAGAATCAATCGAACTTTTTTTCACAAGCAAGCCTTGCTATATCAGCTGTCAAAATATATAATGATTATGCGGCTTAAGTGTGAAGTTGGCTGTGAAAAAATACAATAAGTCCACCGTTGGGAAAAAAAACGAAATTACTTTCCGAACAACCTAATATATTCTGCCGAACGTTTTGTACCTTCAACTGAATAGGAGGATGTCGTTCGTTAAGATTCCCATTCGTAGAATGTGTAATTTATAAAATTCTATTTGGCGAATATTTGAGAAGTCGTACGATTGCCTTTGTCGCAGATCGTTATATCAACCGCGTTGACATGCAAAGCGATCATTAAGACGATATGGCCGGCCGATTGTCGCGGCTCAAAGGTCATGGTTACTCCAGGACGCAGGCTGCTGCAAAGGTAGCGCTACTAGGTAGGGGAACGCACGTGCTCGCGTTCACGATACCGAAGATCCTGAACGTTACTCTCCAAAATAGGCAAACAAAAAAATCCCACGTCGAGTGGGCGCGCACGATTTTACGGGATAGAAAGGTTGCCAGGTGGAAAATGTCAAACTGCTTCGTTAGTCGCAGTCTCTTCTGTACCATTCTTGTTTATTATTACGTCGTTAAGTACAAAAATAGTTAAGTATTAGGTACCTTTGTAGTTAAAAGAACAAAGATAATAAGTTTTAGGTACGTTGTTTCGACCTAAATGAGAAAGTTCATAAGACGGTAGAATTTGGACTTAAAAAGTAAACTTTTTGCTTATTACTTTTTGCTAGAAGCATAAGAAAGCGGTTGTGACGTAGATCGGAATAGACTTAGGCGAGTTAGACAACGATTTTATTTTGAAGTTTAATCCGTGTCTTTGCTAATTTCTTATTCTATCCTCAAGTAAAAAATTTACTTTTATTCATTTCTCTCTCTCTCCTTCGAAAAAAAATCTATCTCATCTCTACACACCGTGAATATTTAACGTTCACTGGTACTTAAGTATCTTTTGCCTGTATTTAGATGTACATTTTACCTAGATATTAAAAATAAATATGCATCGTTGTCTTCATTCTATATCTGTCAGTATAATCTCATCGATACAATTTATAATTTCGAGAATTTTGGTTATATTCAAGATAATATATTTTATATCACGCGTGTTTGAACATAGTGTGCATAAGTCGAGCTCTATAATAACACAATGAATGTACATAATCGCATATTTTATCAATGTAAATCGATGGAACTAGTACAATAGATAAAAAAAGGCATATTTTCAAACGTATATCGCTGCGCTGTGATAGAAAATCAAGTCGAGACTCTTATGTTAATTAATGAGTACTTCTCTGCTGAAATAGTCGTTGCTTCATTCTCTAAAAATGTGTCGTTTGTGACAAGCGATGTATCCATTGCGGCGTAACTCGGTGACGAGTTATATCATTCCCCTTAATGTTGTGATGTCATATGCTATGAATGCCGCTGGCTCTTCGGTTTAACAAACGTATCATTTCTCGCTTTTTCGAATCTCAGCATTCTCAGAAATCAACGTTATACATGGAAGACCGGTCTAAAACAGTCTAATCAGCAACTAGAAAGGTACAATGATGTAAGACAAGACAAGCAATATTTTCTCATTAAAATAGTAAGTTCTTTACTATTAATTTTTTTATAATAAAAATAGAAATTCTGTAATAATTATTATAAAGTGTAATGATAATATTAACGGAACAAATTAGAATTGCTTAAGATACATAGCAAAATTTTATGTACGACTTATCACTATGGTTAATACGCAATATTGAGATGGATAGCTTTCCGAACGGTAAATAGTATAACCGATAGCATATGCAGCTTATCAAAATTCTACAGTTCTTCAACGGCAGTTCATCGTACCTTTTTTACACGAGAATTCCATTGATTCGCGTTACGATCTGCTGTCACGGATCCAACATTTAGCCACTCTCTATGTATAATGCCTACACGTTCTGGATTACACTGTGGGATTACGTCATAATTTTATCGTGGACCTTCACCAACGAACCTTGAACAATGTCTCGAGGCCACAGCTAACTCGAAGAGAGATTCGAGAACGCGGATATATTTTTCTCCGTTGTAAATAAAAATATGTTTCGAATTAGGTTCACAATTGAGTCATGTTAGATAGCGAATTGATTAATTGACCGAGGCGCAACGTCTGGTACAGCTACAAGATTGGTGGTTGCGACATTGCGTGTCTTCTTGCCCATGTAAATCAAGGCTGCCGGTTTATCGCGAATGTCTCGTTCGTGAAGCGATCGTACGAATAATTTCAAAAAATTCGCGAATCCAAAAATTTGTCAAATTTGCATGTTACAAGGAAGAAACTATATTTTATATAATCAAGATATACGCCCTTCTATATAGCTGTTCCATTTTTTTATCTTTAAATTTAGATCTAAGCTGCTCGCCCGTCATTGAAATTGAAAGAACCGCGGGACGTTCACTGCGGGGGATCCAATCCGAATTATAATATAAAACGGTACTGTCGGTTTGAATTTGAAACTGTATCTGTCCTTCAGGACGTCCGCGTGCGCAGACAAAAAGACATGAAGGTGGTGCTGCAGCGATCACGAATCTGGGTCAGTCGCGACGCATTACGGAGGGTTTTAGACTGTACGTCCGTCCAATTTCTTGTATTCAATGGCGATCAAGCTGTCGCTTCCGTGATGCGCTTTTAGGGGACGACTACGTTGCCAATCAGCTTGACGTGCGAGTTACATTTGATTGTCTGTAATAAGACGTTATGTGCAATAACATCACGCCGTGATGGAGGCACCTGCGTTTCTTATGATGTGTCATCTCTTCTGTGAAACACCGGCACAAGTGCTCCAAGCATTCGAGTAAATTACTAAAGACAACTACACAATCGTACAGCTGATTTGACGTAAATGTTGTAAGATGAAACAGACGAATATTTATTCGTCTTGGAACGAGCTTTATAAAAATACAAAAGTACGGTTTTCAACAAGATAACATATAACATTATAACGGAAGTATGATTCAATGAAGAATTAGAGAACATATAATTAACTCAAAATTAAAGAGTACATCAAAGCTCTAGAATAATCATATAGTTTGAGGAAACATGTGCTAAAATTGGTGTTTCCACGTAAAAACCGGCAATTTGTACAGCGATACAGTCAGAATTTCATACTTTAATAAGGACATTACAATATTAAAGCAAATATTTGCGTTATTCGCGATGCATTGGCTAAATAATTCAAACGACACCGAAGTGCGCGGCAACCGTAACGATTTTTAATAATCTCCCATGTATTGATCAGCAAGTCCATTGCACCGTGCCATTTTTACGATTGAAAATGTATGTATGCGTTCATATGCGGAACACGTTATTTTCCATTCGTCGATTCCTCGCCGGATGAGA